TGCAAAGGCCTGTGTACAAAATTTTATAGCAGGATTATGCTTCACAGTCAAAAGACGGAACACCCCAAATGCCTACCCGCTGATGAATAAACACCTGGGAGCATCACCTGGCCTCCCAAAGCAACGATGCTCACATGCTTCTCTAAGGATGAACCTCGAGAACGGCACAGTGAGAGGAAGAACCCCGATGAAAGGCCACTCGCTGTGTGATTTTGTTTGTATAAAATGCCCAGAGCAGGCAAGGCCATCGGGACAGGAAGGAGATTAGTGGCAGCCACAGCTGGGGAAGGGGAAAATGGAGAATGGTGCCGAGTGGGTGAGGGCTTTCTGAAGGGGTGGCAAGAATGTTCCGGAAATACAGTGGTGATGGCTGCATGGCTTTGTGAATATACAGTATTTTTAAAGTGATGAATGGTGTACTTTAGAGTGCTTTTTTTTTTTTTTCGGCTGGTTCATGTTGCCTTAAGAACAGGTCTACTAAGGCATGGGGAGCTGGGGATCGAACCATGGTCCCCTGCACCTGACTGGGTTTGCCCCAGCAGGTGCTTAAACAACTGAGGTAACCCACAAGACCCTACCCCAAATGAATGGTATACTTTAAATTGTTAAGTTTTATAATATGTGATCATCTCAGTAAAAATAGGAGGCTACATGCACTTAATGTATAAGTCACCCAGAAAGTAATGTTGCACACGTTCCTCTGGCTGGTATTCAGCTGGGACACTAGTGCGGTGGGACCAGTGGTAAAAAAAATAAATCTTGAAGTCTAGATTGATGCCCTCCTGCTGCCCATTTCCTCTAGTTCTGTCCAGAGCTTCATGTCATGAGCAGGAACAAATAGGGTACACCTGGCTCATAAAAGAACCTGCAGGGCCGGCAAGATAGCTCAATGGTCTAAAGCTTAGGCAGGTGCAGGGGACCACAGTTTGATCCCTGGCACCACATGCCACATCAGCCCTGACCTCAGGGCAGGCCGAGTCAGCCAAAAAAAAAAAAAAAGAACCTGCAGAACCCTGTTTCAGCCACACAAAGGGGAAACACTAGGATTTGAAAGTGCAGAGATTAAAGCAGGAAATTAGTAACCCTCTTATTGTGTGTCATGTGATATGTATATGGGAATAAGTTTGTGTAACTAACAAAAATAATTTTAAGAAAACTATTTTTAACTATAGTAATTAAAGCATGGTTATATTGGCATAGAAATAGCCAGAAATCAATGGAGTAGAATCACAGGCTTACACAGAAGTATAAATAGGATTATAAGATATCAAATAAGATGACATTTAAAATGGCAGCTGGGGTGGGGCAGGGAAAGACATGGGCAACAAATCCAAACTGGGCTTGGTGGTGTGCTCCGGTAGTGTGGGCACCCTGGAGAATTAAGGTGGGAGGATCGGCCTGGGGCCAAACTGGGCAGTTCAGAGACTTACTGAAACCTGTCTCAAGATAAAAACTGTAACAGGAAGGAAGAAAGGAAGGAAGAGGGAAAGGAAGGTTGGGGGTGCCGCTCAGTGTGAAGACACTGAGTTCAATCCCCAGTATGAGAGAGACAGATAGACAGACAGACTCAGAGGAGAGGGAGATGCCACAGACAAAGACAGAGACGGAGACAGTGTAAGGAATCAATCCGAATTTTATTCCTTTATCTAAATGAATGTAATGTAGTAAATTACCCTGTTTCTGTCTTTGTTCCTGCTATTTCTTTTTGGGTTTTAGTATTCAAAATAATATAAATGAAAATTTCAAAAAAAAGTGAAGACCAAATAAGTAATTTCAATATAGAAAGACACAATTATGTGCACTTTATTTATTTTTTAATTTTTTTTTTAATTTTTTTGGTGGAACCGGGGATTGAACTCAGACCCTTGTGCTTGCCAGGGAAGCACTTATTCCACTGAGCCATCTCCCTGGTCCCAAAAGACACAATTATAAAAGGACTAAAAGAAAACTAGTAGGGGCTTGGGAGATGGCTCAGTGGAATAAGTGTTTCCCTGGCAAGTGCAAGAGCCTGAGTTCAATCCCCAGTTCCACCAAAAAAAAAGAAAGAAAACTAGTAAAAGCATTTTTAAATTGGGTATTAGTTTAACCTAAGGTGAAAGTTATAAGGAAAAGAATAATTAATTGATAATTAATAGATAAATATTTACACAAATATATAAAACATCTGCAGTTTTTTTAAAATTGGGGATATAGCTCAGTAGCATAAGCAGCTGCCTGGCAAGCATAAGGTCCTGAGTTCAATCCCCAGTGCCAGAAAAAAAAGTTTAAAAAAAAATTTAAAATAAAATGACATAGGGAGTAGGGAGGGGAAAGGTTGATTGATAGTTAGTACATTGCAGGTAAGGAGAGGTCCTGTGTGCTAGCTGGTGACTTCAGTAACAGAAGTATATATTTCAAAAGCCTAGAAGAAAGGAGTTTTAAAGCTCTTGCCCTAAAGAACTAATAGATAATCCATGCATGCTGGTGGGGCAGATACACTTCGCTATCATATAATGTGTACACCCACTGAAACACTACATGACTCTTCCCTACCAGGTACTGCTTCTATGTAGCACATAAAATAACTTAAAAGACAAAGACAAAGTGATAAACAATCTGAACATATCTGTAATTTATATGAAAGCAGCTAATATGCAATAGAGTTTAGAAGAAAAGCCTTAATACACAATAGGATATAGAAGAAAAAATTATCCACTTGAAAAAGTTGCAAATACATGAACATACAATTAATAGCAACAATGGTAATAAAACTTATGGAACATTTTCAATGTGTCAACCAGTGTTACATGTTAATGTATTCAACCCCCAGCAAGACGCAGTGAGGTTGGCAGTATCGATGCCTGTATTCTATGCCCACGTTCCTCTGCTCTCCACTCATAATAATGAAGTATCTGTCACCCACCTTGCTTTAGCACGCTGTCCTGAGATGTTGCAATCTCCAGGTGCTCCAGAGGAAGGGCTCAAGGCTGTGGCCCCTTCTCTCAGGGCAAGGCAGTTTTGCTAAGTCTTTAAGAAAGCTGTTCTTGAACCACACACCTCACTCCCACGCTCCCTCCCTGTCTCTCTCGGGCTACCTTCCCTCTCCTCCCATATAAGGAATCAACACATATTTTATTCTTCTATCCAAATGAAGACCAGATAAGTAATTTAAATACAAAAAGATACAATTATAAAAGGACTAAAAGAAAACTAGTGAAAACATTTTTAAATTGGGTGTTAATTTAACCTAAGGTGAAAGTTATAAGGAAAAGAATTATTGATAATTAATAATTAATACATAATTATCTATACAAAAACTGTCAAATTTCTGTACATATTTTTAAGCTGGGGCTATGGCTCAGTGGCATAAACACCTGCCCAATATTTGGGTATTGGTAAATTGGGTATTGGTAAATTATCCACCCAAATATTTATTTTTATAAATCTGTTGACCTGCAGCTTCACAAATGCTGGGTTTTATTAGACTTGTACATCCTTACCAATGTGAGACACAAAAGATGAGGTTTCACTGTGGATTCAAAGCTCATCTCTACCGGTGAGGCGGAGCGTGTTTCTGGCTTTCTGATGAGGCAGGAAGAGCCCAGAACAGAGGTCCTTAAACACTTTTCCTCAAGGGCGCCCTCTAAAAAAAGTATTTCTTCCCTCCTTTCCCTTTTATTTCTATGTGTCTTAAAATTTATCAGTAAATCACAAAATCATGTTAAGCTGACTTTTTGAGGAGGTAAGTATGGTTTAGACAAAGAAATACCAAAAATTCAACATTTTTCCATAAATCACACAAGATAAATCTACAGAGCCAAAGAATTATTGGACATCTTTATACTTAATTGCAATATATTTAAAACATGTTCTGCAAGATCATAGTCTAGCACTAATGTATTTTACAACTATTCAGACATGAAGAAAAAAGTTAGAAGTCTACTTTAGGAGACAGAACAAGATACACAGTTACCAAAAAAAAAAATAGACAAAGAAAGTGAGCCAGAAGGGGACGGAGGCTGACTCACATGACCACTTGGGCAACCACGAACAGCAAGTCACATGTGAAAAGGACAGCAGACGGCAGGCACATTAAGAATTTGAAGGAGGGTTCACAGCATGAGAAGCAAGTTAAAAAATAGAAGAGATGTTTACAGTAGTCGCTGTCAGTCTTGAAGAACAAGCCGGCACCACGTATCCTTAGAGCTATCCTTACCTCGATGACACAGGCTCTGGCTCAACGCCCTTCCTGCCTATCCATAGCTCATTGCCACAGTTTACTCTAACGCTACTCCAGCTTCCAGGCTATTTTTGCCTCTGCCCTGGTAGGTACCCAAGGCTAAAAGAGCTTAAGAGCTACACATGAGGGCTTGGGAGAGATAGCTCAGTAGAACAAGCACCTGCCTTGCAAAGGCAGGGTCCTGAGTTCAATCCCTGGTACCGCAAAAAGGAAAAAAAAAAAAAAAAAGTACATGTTCAAATAGCACACACCCAGCTATTTTCTAACCATAGTTTATATGCTCAGCAACTCTACAGAAGCATACATGTACCTAAATGAAATTTGGACCTGGTTTATCCAGAAACCAATCAAGTCAAAGAGAAAATGCCTTTAGCTTTAACAATTGTAACAAAAACAAAGAATCTTTTCATGTGTGAGCAAATGTTCACATGGCTGGGGGTACTGGTGCACATCTTAGCACTTGGGAGGCTGAGACAGGAGGGTCACCTCAAGCTGGAGGACAGTCTGAGCTACACAGTGAGTTCAAGGCCAGCCTGAAGCCTGA